CGTCAGTCCCCTGCGGTCGCTTCCCGCCTGCGAGAGCCGCGGGGCCCGGAGGCCGGAGCACCGCCCGCGCTGCTACGCACCTAGTAACCAGCGGGTCCCACATGGCCGCGGCCGGAGAGCCCGCGCGGGCACCGCCGAAGCCGCCAGGGAGCCGCTTCCTGGGGGCAGGGCTTGGTGGGATGTGCGGAAGCCGGAAAGCTGCGGCCCTGGGCAGGGGCCGCGCGGTGCGGCGGCCGCTTGGGGCCCCCCTGTTCCCGGTGACTGTGCTCCCGGGCCGTGACGAGCAGGGGTGGGGGCGCGGGACCCCAGTTCCCCGACTGTGTGCAGCCGCAGACCTATTCTAAGTTTCCACGTAGTTGCTAGTGCCCGAAAACTGTCACGTGCACGTCGCGGCTGGGTGGGAGGGGGTGTTTGTCACCGTGTTCGAAAGAGGCGTTTCGATGGCTCCTTTCCGCATGTGAGTGCTCCAATGGGTTGGCTCTCGGCCGCCTTTGAAAGAGCTTGAGTAGGTTCACACACCACCACCACCACCACCACACCACACCACACTACACACCCTCTGGCGTATTGCGGTCACTGCTGAATTCAGCTTTGAATTCTGCTTTTGTTAGCAGGGGTCCTCCATGGTTGTCAAGGAAATGATGAAAATGATCAGTTAATGGCCTTGTCCCACCTCTTCTTTTTCCCTCCAACACAAAAACTAGAACAAGTTGTGGGTCACCACACGTTGACTCCCAGGTTGCCCCCCCTCAATTCAGTCACTGCGAGTACTTACTGTGTACTAGGTGCTTCTTTCTGAGGCGCCTCGGGATTCGGGTGGGGAGTGGACGGTGAAGCCTTGGACTTGTTGACCTTTCCGGCCATGTTCATGGCGCTCACCCTGGAGCGAACTCTCACCTCAAGCGGCAACTAGCAAGGATCTTTTTGGAAAGTCAGTGATAGCGTTGGGAGATGGTTAGGTTCGCCCCAGCGCATCTTTCACGCACCACTCACCTTGGATCCCCAATTTCTCTGACACCGGGATTGCTTTTCCAAACGCCAGCCAGGGCCCATCACAGAGCCAGGTCCTCTGCGAGCCAGGTCCTCTGCTTTGCACAAAGCTTTGGCTTATGCTGCCTGGTGGTTCCGCTTGCTTGCGGGGACCACCGCACCAGGTTGGGGTGGGGGAGGCCGGTCAAGACACCACAGTGCATTAGCGAAAGGAACCCGGACAGTTTCCACACCAGCAGATAGGATTTGGTGACACATGGACACGAGTCATGCACAACAGCCTGTGTACTTCTCTCCTCAACGTGTAGCTTATCATAAATAATGGTCCTCTTGCTTCTGGAGTCTCACCTCCTAGTTCTTTGTGTTAATACCCCAAATATCTCAATGCATCACTTCCATTTCAAAAGCCTTTGATGGCACCCCCTTTGTTTATCAGAGAACAGATTGGGTAGCTGGGCATCTGAGAGTCTTCACAATGCCACCCTATCCTTGGGGATTAAAACATGGGAACCGCTCAAGTCTCCAAGTAGTTGGAGCTATTTGTTATTTACCGGTAAAGAGGTTCAAAAATGTGTCAAGATATGCCTCTTTTGTATCTTGATTATTTTGAATTAAAGTGTAAGAAGGACACTCTGGCCCTCTGTTGTCCTCCTTAAAGTAGAAGCTAAATCTCTCCTGTGAGAATTATGTTCCTTCTGGTGGTAGAGGACACCCCCACAAGTGGGAGTGATGAGTCATGGAGCAGGTTTGCAAGGCAAGAAGCTGCTGTCCAGTGAACAGCCCTCTTGCTGTTTATTTAGCAGTATTGAACAAGCATGATTGATTATGTGACAACCACAGAAGAAACAGGGTCCAAGGAAAACAAAGGATAAGCAACTTTATGGGAGCAGTATCCAGGGGAGATAATGGGTAAACCTTAATGGGAAACATGAGGGGACATGTCAGCCATATAGGCAGGGAGTAGTCCCTCTGCAGGTGCTTTGTGTACTTCCCAGCTACTCCCAAACTGTCTCGCACCCTGACCACAGTCAGTCAGGGGCCTTCTAGGCCTTGGCAGTTGTCTAGGCCTCTCCGCTGCCTGTGATGTGGGTCATTGTTTCAAGGCAGTCATGCAGGAATGCCTTATCCAATTCTTTCAAACATACAAAGTGCACAGAGAGGCGATGCCCACACAGCTGCAGAGGCCCCAGGTGCAAGAGAGGCCACATTCCCTATACCAGAGGGTAAAAAGCAGCTTTATCACCAAAGATACAGATATCTGTATAAAGACATTTTGTTAGAGTAACCTCGTTATCTTCCTAGCTATACTTCTCCATTTGTTATCCATAGCCCAAAACCCTATACTTGCCAATACTTCACAGATTTAAGGCATAAAACCTTCCTTTCTTTGTTTTTCTTGGAAATCCTACTATTCAAATATTGAACTTGCAAGATTGGTCTCTGTTCTAGTTTTTTTTTTTTTTTTAAGATTTATTTA